AACGAAAGATCAAGGAAAGTTTTGTCAAACCAGAAGAAGGACAAGAGAAAGAAAAGGATGAAGAAGAGAAGATTGCTGACGAAGAAAAAGAAGAAGAAAAAGACACACAGGAGCCACATGTCCCAGCTGAAGGCTCTTCAGAGAAAGAGGAATCAGCTCCACCTGAACGCTCCTCAGAAAAGGAGGAATCAGGGGAGAAGAAGACAGACATTCAAGATGATGAGACAGCTCCTGAAGTGAAACCTGCAGTTCGACTTTACTATGGTCAAGATATCACTGGAAACGAAGATGATTCAGTTTTTCGAAGATTGAAGGATTGTTTTTCAGATGGTTACCATGGTGAATGGGCAGGATTTTACAACAAAGGTTATCCAGCGTCTTCGAAGCATCGACATATGTTTTGGCATGTTAAGTACAGGAAGACCATGTCTCCACATCATGATTTTTGGTACCATCTTACAGATGACCAGTTGATGGTTGAGTACATTGCCAGACACAAGAATCAGGATCCACAACTAGAATTACAAGAACTTAATCAGCGCATTGAATATGGTTGTAGTGATCCAAGGATGCATCCTCTTCATCAAGACAAAGCAGAAAGATCCTCAAAAGAAGCAGAAAAGAGGATTGATGACGATTTTGGAAATCTCACAAGGGTACTCCAAGATTACGTTGAGGACCACAAGGTCTTGCCTTACTGTATGATCTTGCATAGCTTGGCTTACAGGTATTTAGGTGGAGGCCTATCAGACCCAACGTACAAGGATGCTGAATTTCCATACAGATCCTCTCCACAGATAACAGCAATGTTTTGGAATTTGGGAAACTGGTGCAGAAACAGATTTGAAAAATGCCCGGTTCCAGAAAGATTTCAACAATTCATTCCACACATTGACTACACTATCGATGAGGATCATGAAAAATTTGATGAAACCAAATCACAGTTCAACAATTACTTCATCAATGTCATCAAGAACTTTGGAGGACATCTTTTCATGAATTGCGAGGCTGGTTCGTTGTATCCTCACAGAGAAAGACTCGACGAGGTTGACTTTAAAACTTGCTTCAATGACTATCATGACTTGATGGTGGCAGCTCGCCTTGGAAAGGATGGCTATATCAAGCAAATTGCTGGATATCACACAGATGACAACGACACACGAGTTCGACAAGTCTCATGGGCAATCTTTGAAGTATCTTGGGGAAAGACAAAGGATCGAGATACAGATGAGATTGTTGACTTGACAAGAGCTAGGATGAGAATGACACGTGTGTGCGTTTATCACGTCGGACAGAAGTATGCATCAGACTCTGCTGGGATTGTTGGTGAGTGCTTAGCTGTTATGGCTTTTGAGTGTGCCAGATATCAAGTTGACTTCATCGCAGGTGATGGAAACAAGGCATGCTATTACAGCACACCAAAATCTCCAGGTGTCCCTACATACCAACACAGCCTTATCCAATTCTGGATCAACAGAATGGTAGGTGTTGCAACACAAGCCATGCGCAAGTATTTTGATTCATCTTGCCCTCCAATCAGGGTCAAGCATTTCATTTCTTGCAGTTATCGTGACTTGGATTTTCTTGCAACACACTTGGATGGCATTACAACAGCAACATACACCGACGAGCTCATGAACAAGACAAATGGTAAAGGTGATTGTTGTATGTTAACAGTTGTTGAGTGGGGTCATTCACGTTTGATGTGTGAGGAACACCCAGAAGACTTTGAGGATGAAGATCACATGAACTATGTGGGTGAATTTTACTTCAAGGTAAATGAAACTTGCTTACATGGTGATCACAACATCTTCATGGTTGCTCCAAATGATCGCGATGCTCATAATCCAATTCTTATCCATCTTGATCCTTCTGATATGTCATGGAATGAACGACATCATTACAAACAGGCCTACAAGAAGAAGCAGTATGCTGATTCAAGAAAGGAAAGACAGAAGGAGAAAAAGAGAAAGGCATATGAAGATCAAGCATCGACGTATCAGGGCAACACAGAGTGGGGTGGATCCTCATCTTCAGCGTCCAGACCATGGAGATCAAGTGAGTGGCGATGAGTGAGTGTACACTTCTTTAATTGAAGATAACACAGCATGAGAAGCCGTGTACAGTTTTTCTGTGCGTTCAACTTATTTCACACAGATGGCATATACTCTTTTAGATAGAGATAATGCCACAAGTGTCTGAACTTCAATTTAATGTAAAATAGAGACTCTTGTAAATAGAGATACTATATACATTTATCTCCATGAATCATCCGGCGAGCAGACCACTCCGAATGGAGCGAACTTCAAAAATTTACCAACTTCGATTTCAGTCCATTGTTTGCTTGAATGAGCAACTTTGGAGATCCGCTATTTCCGTTTATTTCGTGATTTGGTCAATTGTTTTCGTATGACCTGAATTTCTGAATCTTGCGAACCCGAACTTTTCAATTCGAACTTTCACCGGTAGAGCGAGGCATTTTGCCTGTGGAGAGACCGTGCGCGAAGCACCATTGGTCACTACTGGAAAAATTAGCGAATCCGCTGTTCTTTTTCGACATGTCCTTAGGACATTCGCTGCTTTCACGTGTTTTTCAATTCGAAGCCACTGCGTAACTCCGGTTTCTTTTGCTATTTGCCATTGTGTAGAGAAGTCAGGAAGATACTCTTAATACCAATTGGGTACGGCAAGGCGTAGTGCTCTACTCATTGCTTTTGAATTTGTGCCTGTGTTTTTGTTTCGACCTAATACCTACATAGGTACATGCATGAGTATTGAGCACATTTATATGCGCCCTTCAAGGCTCAAGAAAGAGGTATATAGAGTAACCCTGTAGACAAGCACTGACCGGCAACAGGCTGAGAGTAAAAGAGTGCTGTCATTGGGGAAGACGCCTTAGCTGATCTTGAAGTAGACGCTAGGGCCCCTCTTCAGCCCTCCCCCCTGCACCCCCCCACCCGCTTTTATTTTTTAATCGGTTCCCCTTGCTACCTGCTATTCTTTTTGTTTTTCATAAGCATCATCGGTTATTTGGGTTCATTTTATCTTTATTGATATCCATCGAGATTTGTGCGATTATGTACTTCTTTCTTGGTACGCATTGCGGGCGGAGGCGCTGCGCCCTCCCCCCTGCACCCCCCCACCCGCTTTTATTTCTTAATTGACTTCCCTTGCTACCTACTCTCTTTCATTTTTTTCATAGGTATCGTTTCTTTGGGTTCATCTTCTCTTTCTTAATCTTTATTTATATCCATCGAGACTTGCGCCTGTGTGCTTCTTTCTTGGTACGCATTGCGGGCGGAGGCGCTGCGCCCAATATGAACATTTTTACGTCATAATTTTTTTACGTTCATACAAATTCCGGTCTCGCCGCAATTTCCAGTCCTTCCATTAACGCCACTATAAGGACTAAGACAAGTATTAAATGACTCGACGACAACTACTACTACTAACGCCTACTCCTACTCCTCCTCCTAATCCCACTCCTACTCCTCCTCCTCCTGCTGCTGCTGCTGCTGCTGCTTCTATTGCTACTACAGATAGTACTACTGCTACTATTACTGCTACTACTACTACTACCACGACTACTACTACTACTACTACTACTGTTATTACTACTACTACTACCACCATTACTACTACCATTACTACTACCATTACTACTACTAGTACCATTACTACTACTAGTACCATTACTACTACTAGTACCATTACTACTACTAGTACCATTACTACTACTAGTACCATACTACTACTAGTACCATTACTACTACTAGTAGCATTACTACTACTAGTACCATTACTACTACTAGTACTACTACTAGTACTACTACTAGTACTAGTACTACTAGTACTACTAGTACTACTAGTACTACTAGTACTACTAGTACTACTAGTACTACTAGTACTACTACTACTACTACTACGACTACTACGACTACTACGACTACTACTACTACTACTTCTACTACTTCTACTACAACTACATTTGTTTTTTTTGATCATTATTTGTTTTTTTTGATCCATTATTATTTTTTTTTTTGATCCTTATTTGTTTTTTTTGATCCTCTAGCCACTACTGCTACTACTGCTACTACTGCTACTACTGCTACTACTGCTACTACTGCTACTACTGCTACTGCTACTACTGCTGCTGCTACTACTGCTGCTGCTACTACTACTACTACTACTCCTCATCATCATCATCATAATAATAATAATAATCATCATCATCATAATCATATCATTCATCATCATCATCACCATCATCATCATCACCATCACCATCACCATCACCATCACCATCACCCTCCTCTCCTCCTCCTCATCATCATCATCATCATCATCACCACCATTGATAATAATTGATAATAATGGATTATCATTGACCATCATTGATCACGATTGATCACCATTGATCATCATTGATCACCATTGATCATTATCGATGGTCATTGATCGTCATTGATCGTCATTGATCGTCAGTGATGATCGTTGATCACCGTTGATCATCGTTGATCATCGTTGTTCGTCATTGATAATCGTTGATAATCGTTTATAATCGTTGATCATCATTCGTCATTCTGGGAATTGGCTGCGCGCGTTCTCGGATTCTTCCCCATCAGGTGCTCCCAGCAACTCAGCAATGTTACACCTCATTTAACAGTTTGCTATGGAAAATTCCATGTTTGATAGGGAAATCATCGAATTAAATGGGCGATGGCTTCCATAGCTATTTTTAAATTACCATAGGGCACATCTTATCAATTTGTCTCAGTTTCACAATTTCTGCGGGAAGAGTGGGATAAAAATGATAAAGGACAGTCATTTCCAGACCATTCAAACCGCCAACCGCCAACCCAAACCGCCATGTAAGCATCCATTGAACATGGATGTATTGGAAGATACCGGACATCACTGTGCCAAAGATCTGCTTTCTTGAACAACCATCTGCAGGGATCCAGAAGCGTGGCCCCTTGCCACCTGGTATCCCGACACAGGCTGCAACTCGTCTACGACAACATCGTGGGCTTGGCGACTGCCGGAGTGGTGACTTGACAGTAATGGAATTTGGAACCAGTTGAGCTGGCGAACTGTCCATTTTAACTGTGAATTTACCCCCAACTTGGGGGCAATGATTGGCAATTTCAATGGGGGCAATGAATGAAAATGAATGAACATGCATGAAAATGCATGAAAATGCATGAACATGAGCGTTTCAACCAGTTAGTTTGGGGTTACCGTAGTTTCAGACAGACCATTCATTCATCCAGCGTGACGTAGCTATGGCATATGGCTCAAACTCTGGGAAACTCCGTGTTTCTTTCCCTAACAAATTGGGTGAATCATTAAACACCGCCATGAACATGGTAAACGTTCTGGCACAATACTTCTCTGCACCTTGGGTATCGATAGAATCTGTTAAACAGGCATGCATGGATTGTAAGGTCACAGTGGTAAAACCCCCCTTTCTCCAACCCAATGAATATTGGTCTGAATTTCGGAGATACCCCCCAAGTCATGGCAATTGAAACATAGAAAAAAAAGAGGTTTCTTAAACCACTGAAATCTGCAAGGGGTATTGACAATATTGAATGAAAAAAAACACTTCAACCAAGTCCCAGACTCTCAACGGGGTTTCCATGAAATTTTCTGGATTGAGGGAGAGTTTTCTTTTCCGGTTTTCCCGGGTTTTCCCCTAAATTCTATACCCTCAAGTACTAGGTGTCTAGAATGGGGGGGCCCTGGGGTACCCAGGGGGGGGGGGCTAAGATCCCCCCCCCCCCGATATTAGACCCTTTGGAGGCTCTCATTTTAGACCCTTGGGACCCCTTAGTTATGTGGAATGATGATGATGATGATGGTGATGATCATATTAAAAACCCTAGTGCCAACCTACCTTGTGCAGATAATTTGTCCAGGCATCACCTTGACCATAACTCCTATTTAAAAAATCCACAAATTCGGTCTTATTTCGACGACCCCCTTTCTTGTTGCACTATGCAGCTGGTTTATGCTGGTTTCAGGTCCGGGGAGGTGTCCGTTTTCTTGGAGAATGTTTTTTGGTGAAAGGCTTGTTTTGTAGACCGTTTTCTTGGAGAATGCTTTTTGGAGAATGCATCACATAGCACGCTATCACATCAGATCGATCAACATTATATTTCAAAGGAAAAATAACATTGATTAGGTGAAAACCATTCTGTAGAACCTTATGGGTGGAAAAAGGTATTGTTGATTATCACCCACCCAATATACCCAACAATCCCCAGAAGCAGTGGGTTGAACACCACACAAGGTCTAAAACCATGTCCTTCATGATATGCCTGAAAAAATCATTGGTCCAATATGGGGTAAACCATTTAAGAACCTCATAAATTCTGTAAATTCCAAAAAACCCTGTAATCAACCAGATTTGCATCACATAGCACGCTATCACATCAGATCGATCAACATTATATTTCAAAGGAAGAATAACATTGACTAGGTGAAAAACCATTGTAGAACCTTATGGGTGGAAAAAGGTACTGTTATTATCACAAACACAAAATACCCAACAATCCCCAGAAGCAGTGGGTTGAACACCACACAAGGTCTAAAATCATGTCCTTCATGATATGCCTGAAAAAATCATTGGTCCAATATGGGGTAAACCATTTAAGAACCTCATAAATTCTATAAATTCCAAAAAGCCCTGTAATCAACCAGATTTGCATCACATAGCACGCTATCACATCAGATCGATCAACATTATATTTCAAAGGAAGAATAACATTGATTAGGTGAAAAACCATTGTAGAACCTTATGGGTGGAAAAAGGTATTGTTGATTATCACCCACCCAAAATACCCAACAATCTCCAGAAGCAGTGGGTTGAACACCACACAAGGTCTAAAATCATGTCCTTCATGACATGCCTGAAAAAATCATTGTTCCAATATGGGGTAAACCATTTAAGAACCTCATAAATACTATAAATTCCAAAAAGCCCTGTAATCAACCAGATTTGCATCACATAGCACGCTATCACATCAGATCGATCAACATTATATTTCAAAGGAAAAATAACATTGATCAGGTGAAAAACCATTGTAGAACCTTATGGGTGGAAAAAGGTATTGTTGATTATCACCCACCCAAAATACCCAACAATCCCCAGAAGCAGTGGGTTGAACACCACACAAGGTCTAAAATCATGTCCTTCATGACATGCCTGAAAAAATCATTGGTCCAATATGGGGTAAACTACGGTAAACCATTTAAGAACCTCATAAATACTATAAATTCCAAAAAGCCCTGTAATCAACCAGATTTGCATCACATAGCACGCTATCACATCACCTCGATCAACATTATATTTCAAAGAAAAATAGATTTGATTAGGTGAAAACCATTCTGCAATGACCATTGTAGAACCTTATGGGTGGAAAAAGGCTTTGGATGGTTTCGGTTTGTATTTTGTGAAGGTAGCATAGGGCTAAGTGATCTATAGTGATCTCACATATCATCACTCTATCATGACAAAAAAACATAGGGTTTAAGATATGATTTTAGACCCGTGCGCGTGGGTGTCTGAAGATTTTCTCCTGGCAATTGGTGGTTTTCCACAAGAATACCATCTTAGACCCAGTCCTGGGGTTCTAATATCTAGTCTTGAGGGTGCCTGGGTAGTACTTGATGGTATTAAATTCTCAGACACCCCATGTTTCAGTCCATCGAGTCCATGGCCTGTGCATGGCCTCAGGTCTCAGTTCTCCCTTCCGCGGAAGAGTTGTTGGAGGGGCTGTCACACCTCCGTCCGGGGCTCAGCCTCCGGGGTTACCCGGTATGGGTCCTGAAAAACCTCCATGGGAAGCTTCCAGGAATAGGATTTGGAAGATCATTTTCTAGACTTGGAAATGGATTTGATAGTCAAGTTCAAACCGGCCAAACCCATGATTTATTGATATTGTTGAGTAGAACCGTGCCACCCCATTCCACTTTGCTTGAACTGCACGTCCCCAAAACATGGGTTTGGACGGTTCGTTAGGTTTCTGGGCCCACTGGCAGAGAAGAACTATTCTTGGGTTGGTTTGAACATTTTGAACCACCAAAGCAATGCCACAATGTCTTGGGAGAATTCTGCGTGTCTGAAGGCTTGACTCTGAAGACGGAGCAGGAACTCTCGGCGTGTCTGTGGGTGCTGGAAGCAGCGCTAGGCCGGAGACCTCCCCTTGGAGTGAAGACAACTGGAGACAATCTGCCGGAATTTTGGGCGAGACTGATTGAATTGGGGATGTGAACCAAGATTACTTGGACCTAGATGGCACGTGTTGAATTTCGATTCATTTTCTAGTTGAAACATTGCCTGAACGTGCTGAAGATCTTTCCCCTGGCAGAGTGATTTCACAACAGACAACCATCACTAGACGCTAGGTGTTGGCCACATGACGAAATATTTTCCCGAAAGGTCATCAAACCGGAACTGAGCGTGTCACCCGTTATGCCCAAATCTGCCCAGGCAGCGGTTGCTCCTCCTTTCCCAGCTTCGAGGCCTTCCTGTCCATGGCTGGAGTGCGGCGGCTCGAATCCACACCAGGCGGATGAAACTCTCAGGTACCCATTTATTTCCATTTATAAACGTTTTTTCCTCACATCCAAGGGTTCAAAATTAATCAAGGGTCACATGTTATACTAGTGGCGCTGATCTGTTCAATTAACATTGAGCCATTTCGAAAAAAACCGTGAGTCAAAGAAGCTGAACTTGGCTCTTAAATTTACTAGAGAAGAACCGCCATCCGGATTACTTACATTACGGATGCCAGAGCCCACAGTGGATCCCACAAGCTATTGAAATCAGAGTAGGCCCATGATTTTGCGACAGAACATTCTACCAGGTTAGATTTGCGATGGATCCTACTTTGTCCAACATTAGTTTGCGATGGATCCTACTTTGTCCAACATTAGTTTGCGATGGGACCTACCCAAATCCATCTCAAAATGATGCCAAATCTAACTATGGCCATGGTATGTGCTAGCAAGGTTTAACATGATTTGTCTCAAAACTCTAGGGTTTTGAGTGTTAGGCAACAGTTTGGTTAGAGATGGATTTGGGTAGGCCCCATCTCAAACACAGCCTGCCAGTATTAGGGGTATTGGTAGTGGACATGTGTCTGAAAAGGCTTGCCAGTCTGGCAGGCTGTGTTTGAGATGGGGCCTACCCAAATCCATCTCTAACCAAAACTGTTGCCTAACACTCAAAACCCTAGAGTTTTGAGACAAATCATGTTAAACCTTGCTAGCACATACCATGGCCATAGTTAGATTTGGCATCATTTTGAGATGGATTTGGGTAGGTCCCATCGCAAACTAATGTTGGACAAAGTAGGATCCATCGCAAACTAATGTTGGACAAAGTAGGATCCATCGCAAATCTAACCTGGTACCCTGCAAGTCGGAAGGTCAAGTTTTACGAGGTCTTTTGCAAAAGACCAAGTTTTACGAGGTCCTCTGGTTTACTTGATTTTATAGAGCTCAGCCCTTTTTCCCATCAATGCTGAATTTGACTTGAACCCCATTTGAAACTGTTGATGCATGATTGGGAAGCAATCAATCACCTACAGATCATAGCCCCGAATGGGCCTTTCCAAGTTGCAATGAACAGCCACTAAGGCTGACATTCCGGAGCATATGCAAAGCAAATTCGTGGCGTTTCCCCTCAAGAAATTATATGTTTGGCAGAAATTTCCACACTGAAAAAATGGTTCCTAGGGTTTCACGCTCGGTTCACGCTCGGTTCACGGTCATAGTTGGCCTTTTGCCAGTCATAGTTGGTCTTTTGCCGGTCATAGTTGGTCCGGTTCACGCTCGGTTCACGCTCGGTTCACGCTAGCGATTCTGGGCCCCTGATAATTCAAAAACCATACGTTTGTGGTGGTTCCAGCCCTGGACTCCCAATGATAAAATAGTGTGGGGTACCCTATGATAAACCGCAAATTGGATATTTGGTCGGTGAAGGGATGTGGCTATCCTGAAATTTAGGTCAACAATTATGGGTTTATGCATCTTATATATTACTGTTGGACATCCATGGCCATCATCTTAACTTTGGACCCAAAAGGTCCAAGTAATAGTAGGTCATAGTAGGTCCTCATCAAGTAATAGTAGGTCCTTTTCAGCAAAGTTAAAAGGCCAAGTTTTACGAGGTCTTTGACCTGGAGGGGTAGAATGTTCTGTCGCAAAATCATGGGCCTACTCTGATTTCAATAGCTTGTGGGATCCACTGTGGGCTCTGGCATCCGTAATGTAAGTGGTCCGGATGGCGGTTCTTCTCTAGTAAATTTAAGAGCCAAGTTCAGCTTCTTTGACTCACGGTTTTTTTTCGAAATGGCTCAATGTTAATTGAACAGATCAGCGCCACTAGTATAACATGTGACCCTTGATTACTTTTGAACCCTTGGATGTGAGGAAAAAACGTTTATAGTGGATTTACCGATGAAAAATGGTGATTTTCCAGTTCGTTATGTCAACGTTGACCAGACGGGTCATTTTCAGCATCTGGACAACGGTCCATTGAGTTCGATGATTCGCGGGAAAACTGGCCAGAGGGTATATCCTCATATTGTTATGGGGAGCAAACATCTATTGAATCTATTTATCAATATTTTCATGGTTTTTTGCTCGATTTTTGGATGATTTTGCCCAGCCAAACCGCTATGATCTTCCCCTTTTTTCCATGGCGCCTAGGCGGCAGAGCTGGAGACGCTCAGCGATGCGACTCCTCCGTCCTCGGTGGCTCGGTTCGTGGGATTTCAATGATATGTTGGGATCCATTATATATGAGGGCTATCTATCAGTATCATGGATCTCGTATATTTTGCTGAGTTGGTTAGTACTACAGAATTACAGGGATTCTTTGTAATTTTTCTGTGTTTTTTTTTGGTAGGGATTAGAATGAACATTCCTTCACCTAGTTTTATTGAATACCAACCCGTTGAATCGCTGATCGTGTTGGATCTAATCATTTGGGAGGGTTTGATGGGTTGAGTATGGTTGATATATCTTGATATTACAGGGGATTAGAGTACCATAGTTATCACACGAACTCCCCAGTAATATCAAGTCAACCATAGTTCTACATAGTTCTACTAATCGTTTTACGCCATTTCGTGTGATTTTACTGGATGGACGGATTTTGAAACCACCGGGGTCACCGGATCAGTGACCGACTCATGGCAGTAAAACGATGCGTGGGGACCTCACCAGAAATGTCTTTTTTTCTCCTCCAAATGGAGGTGATCTACAAGTCACCATGGATTTCAATACTAAAATGGTCTAATGACTTGGATTTGGTGGTACCCCCATGACTTAGAACACCTCCAATATGGGGAACCACTGCAAAGTGGACTTATTCGAGGCTTGGGAAATGCTGTTATTTGACCGGACGTCTTTTTGGGAAAGGCAGCAATTGGTGAACTTGGTGCATGTTCCGAAAGATGCTTCAAGAAATTCTAATATGGCTGTGGGTCAATCTCGAAGTATATACCCCAAAACGGCAGATTACTGCCAAAAATGGCCAATCAGTGATTTCCCAAGTAGCCGATCCTCGAATAGGTTGAAAGGACAATTTTCAAAAAACCCGATGTTTGGGAGTGGAAATCATTGTCTCCTGTAAAAAAGACCTTACACCAATACGTTGATGATCAAAATACATCAAAATATATCAAAATGATTGGCAAGATCCCCATTTTGAGGGTGACAATTTCAATCTTCATGAATTTTTCACCATGTTTGCAGGTGAAAAATCGTCATTTTGGCTTGGCCCAGGCCATTTCGATGGTCTCTTCGGATGGCCGGAAGCATGGAGAGCTCCGGGTGCAGTTGGAAGGCCCTTCTTTTCGGGTTCTACCTAGAATTTCGCCTGAGAATGGTCGGGTTTTATTATATATATATACATACACCATAATATATATAATATATATATAAAATATAATATATATATAATATATATATATAATATATATATAATATAATATATATATATAATATAATATATATATATAGATACTATAATACTACAAGCTAAGGGCACGCGTATGGTCTGGACTATAGATGGAAATTGGGACTATAGAATGAAAACCAGCATACAAATCACAATGTAAACATAGAATCGAGAAAACAGGGCATGCTTACTGTCCATGATGCGCAGATAACGTGACAGTATTCATCACCAGTCCTATGGCTTCCATGGCTAGGGCTGCTCTCGGGGGGCGCGTCTCCAACCAAGAGCGCCAAGAGCTTCTTGTCGTCAGAGGAGTGTTCTTTTTCCGCTCAACACATGGGCCAAGATCAGCATTTTTAGGCATAGTACTATGATAGGTTTATCTATGTTTATCTGATTTCACCCATAAGCATAAAGCCATAGGATGCCATAGTACCATGATGGGTTTATCTGCACCCGAAGATGTCAAACATGGTACACCCATTGCCGCATAGTCCCAAACGGCCCAAGCGGGGACGACTTCGGTGGTGCGCCCAGTAATGGGATGATGTCAAATGACCCCAAATGGAGGAGTATTGAGGATACGACCAACATGAACTCAAGGATATATATATATATATATTTATATACATATATATACATATTTATGTTTATATATTTATATTTATATTTATGTTTATATAATAATAATAGCAATAATAATAATAACAATAATAATAATAACAATAATAATAATATTAATAATAATATTAATAATAATAGTATAAATAATATATATATATCTATATATTTTACACTATATATATATAATTTATAGGTATCTGCAAGAGAATTCGCCCAAAGATGGGGATTTCCCGCAGCAACGGCCAAGTCATGGTGCCCTTTTGGTGGCCACCCTCCAGTACTGGGTTGGATCCCAGATGGATTCAATCCTCAAATGGGTTGGCTCAAAATTAAAGACCTGGGGGACCACAGTCTACTTTCAGTCTACTTTTGGTTAAAAATCCATATTTTTAGGGATACCCAATTTTGACTCATACCCAAATGATGTCCCACAAACATGGGCATGTCTAGATGTTAACACATCGAAAAGTCAAGTCATTAATTAGTTTACACCACTGGGACGATTTCATATCCCAAATCACCTTCCCAAAATGGATGATTTACTAAGACGATTTTCCCAATGTTGGTTCAACCATTGGTCCACATCATATTCGCAACAAAAGATGACCATGGCCGTTGGCAGTGTTAGGAGTCGGGCCCAGCCTTAGAGGTGCCAAAGGTCGCAGCTCAAGAGGATTGCGCTTTTCCAGTTTTTTCTTAAGGGTTGCTCTATGTGTATATCATTGGATTATTCATGACATTGAATTTTGGACTACATGACACTACATTGCCCTACATTACATTAC